GTAGCCCTGGTCCACAAGTTATGGTTTAAACTTTTTCACTGCCAGAGCATAGAAGAAAATTGGCACAAGTATATTATTTAGAATGTGTAAAAAATGAAATAAATTAGTTTCTCTGAAAAATTACAGTTAAACCCAAGGCCTTAAAGGTCTTCCCTGGATTCCCATAAGGAGAATAGCAGGTGACTTAGTAGATGGCTTGTTAACTGACATCCCTACCGTAAATGTGGACATGAATTTCATAGGTTGTTTTCTGAGGGTTTCTTCAATGTATGTCAACAGCATAACATTCTATGATATGGCAAAAAACAGTGATATATGTATACACATAGAGTCTGTTTTTGTTATAGCTATATATATAACATGTTCAGATATCCATTATTCTGTTTTATCCAGGGGTTGTTTTTCAAGAATCCAAGATACTGTCAATCTTAGTTACCCATGAGAATCATTTCTGGAACTTTCAAAAATAGAACATGTTCAGGGCTTTTCTGGAGAGTTAGATTTCCTTGGTGTGGAGAGCGGCATCTATGCCTCTACCATAAAAAGCTTTAGGATTGATGCTGGGTAGTGAGACAAGAACAGAGGAATTCAGAACTTACTGTCTTTCCAGCTAGACTACAGTAAGGCTGTCTGTCACTGCGGAGGGTTTGCTGCACATTAAGTATAAATGAGCATATCTTTCTTAGAGGTCCAAAGTACGGTTTTACTATGTGTGTATATGTGGAGCCATATATTCTAACTCAAACCTGAGTGCAGGATTAATATTTTCTTGTGAAAACGGAAAAACCTTGTCTTACCTCCCCAAAGCAATGCGCAAAAGATAAAGGAAGTAACAACGTGCAGGGGCAGAAATCACATTAATGAAAAAGTTTTTTAATTTGTTTTTTAGCAATCCATACATAATGGGGAGCCCAGCGCCTTTCTCATTTGACTTCTCTCACCATTCTGTAATTAGAACAGATAGAAAAAGTCAAAGATTTCCTTTCCTACAAAAATAATTCACCATAGGACCTTGAAATCTTTCCACTAAAAACACCTACACATGCAAGATAGAAATACAGTTATTATTTTTAGAGAATACAATTATATATGTAGATTGTAAACATCCCCCAAGGGGAAATTATTGAGCAGTAAGAGTCTTAATAAATTTCCTGAATATGAGATCAGTATATTGAAAGTTACTACAGGCACTAGAGCGTAGAACTGGGCATGTAGCTTGCCTAGCGTGTGCAGTACCCTAGGTTTGATCACTGACAAAAGAAAGTACCAGTTACAAATAAAATAAAGTCTTAAATGTGGAAGTGAAAGTTGTTAATATTTTAGAATAAAATGTAGGTAACTCTCATTATCATCTCAGTTAGCAAGGGATTTCTTGAGACTAATTTAGAAAGCACTAACTATACAGCAAGAGTCGTATATTTGACCATATGAAAATAAAAAAAGTAGTGCTATAAAAACTGGATGAATAAACTGAAATAACATGACAGATTATAAGAACATATTTATACATAAGGCAACAAATTTCTGCCCAGTATAAATGAAAATTTCTACAAATAAAAATTTTAAAATGAGCCCATAGAATAGCTCTGGGTTTTGGTAGGGTTGAGGCATGGGCAATTCTCCATAGAAGAAATACAAATGGCAAAAAACATGAAATGATGTTCAGCCTCATAAACAAAAAATACATATCAATACGTGGATTTACCACTTCGTTCACATAGGGCTGAGCAAAGATCTAACAGTCTGTGTAAAGAGCGCACACTGTGTTAGAGGACGTGTCGTAGGGAACCCTCAGGTGCCGCCCCAGGGGTATAACTGTGTTAGCAGAAATGAGACTGAGACTTACGTGTGTTTTAGTCTAGAATGTTGACAGCTTTCCTGAGCACTTTTTCTAGAGAAATCTGGCAGTACCTTGTTAAGTTGAACTTTGGATATTGTGATAAATATGTACTAACTTTGGTACCAGAATGGTGGAAAGAACTAAGTGCGTGAACCGAGGTACCAGGGTATGTGCTGATTTCCTTACACACCTCAGTATTTCTATTTTGAAGCAGTTCTTACATATTTTGCTAATAATAGTGTTGTCTTATTTTCCCTGGACGTTCTTCCTTGACTGATACCATGCCCTCTAATTTATTAATATTTTCTTTGTGATTTAAAAGGAATATACTGATGGTGTAAATGTACTCCCAGTACAAAAGACTAGTAATTCTGCAGCCTCTCTGTCCCACAGCTCAAAGCAGAGGAGAGTGAGGTGTATTCAAATACACAATGCCGAGGTTTACTTCGTTTCCACCGGTGGACCTTTTAGATCCATAGCAGCACTAAGAGCCGCTGGCGTCACTTGGCCCACTGGCTGTGCCCTTTGTGTGACGCAAGGGCCCGGACTGGAGAGCACCTGGGTCCTCGACAGTCTCTGTGGAAAGTTTTTGCCAGTGATTTTCTTGTAATCTAGGGATATAAGAGTTCTCCTTATGGTGATTTTAAAGTGAATATCCTGTTCTTTAAAGAACACCTGCCAGGAAGGATGTGAAGATGTTCGTATAAACAGAATAGCTCTTTTTCCTAATTAATACTTCATCAGTAGATTCTGAACTTCTTCTCTGTCCGACTTCCATAATGAGATGCTCATGAGCGCTCAGGGATTTTTGTTCTGAACTTCCGTTATGATGTACAAGATGTAATTTTAAAATATGGTAAATGTTTAAATTAAAATGTAAACGACTATTACAGTACAAGAGACATTGCCCTTAAACGCCCTCAAAATACCCTCGCCTCAAACCCTTGCTCAGCTGTTGCATTTTCGGAGTCCGTTTTGGAGTCCTTTTTCATGTTGCTGTTGTGACTTCCTTGATACCCTGAATCGGTTCAGAAGATTCTGTCAGGTGGGTCTCATGGACCTCTTCCTAGGTCTGGCACCGCGTGGCTTCTGGCTTTTCCCCAAAGTCGCGGTGGCAGGAAAGGTAAATGTTTTGAATGAGTGCAGTGCACGCTGAGGTAGCCAGGTCAGTGCAACCGCAAGCACCCACCAAAGGGGCTTCGGGGTATGCTCGGAAGGTAACAAGAACGACGGGTTAATTGTGTTCCACGTGAGAGGGATTTTTTTTTGTACCAGGAATTGAACTCAGGACCTTGTGCTTGCCAGACAGGCGCTGTGCCGCTGAGTTATATCCCCAGCCCCGAGAGGGAATTTTTTGAGAGGGATGTATGACAGTGTTAAAATCTACCCTAGTAGAGCATGTCTAGGAGCCTGAGCTTTTATTACATCGTAATAATATAATTGAATTACTAGATCAGAGTTAATAAAATAAATATTGGAGATAGCACCCCACAGTCCTTGTAGCCGAAGGAGGGTCCCCAAGGGCTTCCATCTTTCTTCAGCTCTGTATCTGAGTATTTTCTTAATAAGATGGTTTTACAAAAAGGACACTATAAATTTTCTTCCTTTCGTTACTGTGTAGTAAATGTGCACACGTAGAACAGATGGAAAGATGAGCTGAATTTGGTCCGGTGTTCCTAATGGAACCAGAGACAAAGTTAAAACATTTGGAATTAAGGTATTTAACAATTTAGCAGTTCTTTTGTGCTTGAACTAGGGGAATATTAAAAGTGAAACTGAGCAATCTTTTAGTGATGTGTCCTGTTCTCGGGGGTTATGGGTGAAGAACTATAGATGTGACCTTTATTGTTCTGTTCCCTTTTCGTGTCTTCAGGCCTGACGGAGACTGTGCGTCTTCCCTGAATGGTGGGAATATGAAAGGCATCGAAGGGAACTCGTCTGGACACCTACCGAAATTCTGCCATGAGTGTGGGACGAAATACCCCGTGGAGTGGGCCAAGTTCTGCTGCGAATGTGGCATTCGAAGAATGATCCTGTGAGCAGAATCTTGAAAGAAAGAGAGCCAGGTTCAGGGTTGTATGCTTGTTGTTCCTTGGATAGTTAGAGGACTCCCTGTGGTTCTTCCCTGCTGACACTATTCAGAATACTGTTCCCATAATCTTGGAGCATAATTTTTAGGTTGAGTAATGTGCGTGTATATATATGTGTATGTAGTGTATATAGTAAATACCTGATAAGCCAGGCTGTGCCACTCTAAGAAATACTCATCTGTCAAAATAATTTCAAGTGGAGTCATTAACTTAGGTATTGTTCTTCTGTTAAAACACACTCCGTGTATCTTCGGAAATACTCTAGTGCTTAGCCCTTTCAGCTTTGGGGTCATCCCAAGTCTGAACACATGTCGTATTAAACATTGCTGTTGTTGGTCAGTAGGATCAGGGAGCGTCATAGCTGTTACTCTCTGACACTTGGCATTTTGTAATCAAAGAGAACGTTTTAGATTTTGTTAGTTTATGGGAAGTCTTTTTCCTGTTGAACTTTTCAACAACTATATCTTGCTGAAAAGGAGGGGGAACAAACACAAGGTGTCTGTTGCGTCTAATTTAGTAGGTTATTAACTATATAATTAAAAGAGCCTTACTTGTTCTGTGAAAATGTGATTATTCGATTCTCTTCCGAAAAACAAGACTAAAAGTACGAATGTTAATTATTAGAACTGGTTTTTGTGTGTGTATTAGTTGAGCATACGCCATGTTTCACTTATATTCCTAATTTTTGCTTTTCTTCTTCTTTTCTATAACTTGTCTGAAGAGTAGTTTTAATTTTTAATTTACTATATCTTGGCAGTATTTTAAAATGTAATTATTTAATATAAGCTATACAAAAAACTTTCCTTTTCTTCCTGCTGGGACCTCAAGCATTCTGGTGCTCTGCCAGTGAGCTCCCTTCCCCATCCCTTTTTAATTCACTTTAGACAGACTCTTGCTAAGTTGCCCAGGCCGGCCTCCGACCTGCAGTCCTTCGTCCTCACCCTCCCGAGCAGCTGGGATTATAGGTGTGCGCTACTTCACCTGGCAGGATGCACAAAATTCTCCGTAAAGTCTTACACACTTAGACGTATTTTATTTCTGTGTAGCTAGTTTATAAGAAATTCATGCATTTTAAAACAAACCACCTCACTTCAGTAACTAATCATTGTGGTACTCATTACTGTTGAGCATGCAAGGAAAAAGTATGAGTTGAAGTTCTTTAGAACACATTTAGACGTAGATATGAGTAGGCTAAGAGAATATCTAACTTTCCCTACTTATATTTCATCCTTTAGTGTTTAATGTTGAAACTCCATTTATCAGTAAAAACCACTAAAAATGTATTAGTTCAATGAATAGCTTGCTTATGTAATTAAACAAAAATCTATAATTTCTCTTTAACTTGACTAAAATAGAGCTTTTGATCATTGTCACTTTCAGTTTAATATAAGTAGCTTTCTTTCATGGGTTATCCAGCCACGTTCAGTAACTCTTTAGTAATTATATTCAATCCAACCTGAGTGAGCTTTATCTTATTATAAAGGTATAAGCTAATCTTTTTTATAATGTTTTTTAGTTTTTTGTTTATAATTGTGATCAACTATAAGGACCAGTATAGAAATTTGTGGCTTAGAATTTCATTTATCTGAAATTAAGTTTCTGTTTTTATTTTTAGTTCAGAAAGATCTTATAAACTTAGTGGTAATAGGAATTGACATTTTTACTTCCCTTATAGTTTCTGTTTTGCTACTGGGAATCGAACTCAGGACCTTGCGCTTGCCAGGCGGGCGCTTGTGCCTCTGAGCTATATTCCTGCCCTTCCCTTGTAGTTTCTTTCCTGATTTTTCCCTATTTTTTTCCCAGTTCACCTGTTATGGTATAAAACAATTCCATGAATTTAAGTTGTACTTAATTTAGAGAACTAATGTACCTGTTAGATTCCGTTTCAGTCACTTCTGTTCTCTAATTGTTATAAATGCAGGACTTAAAATAGGACTTAAAATTGTGTTTTTCTAGGAATGGAAACTGTTTTCTTTCAAGTATGTTTCTAAGACCACATCTCTATTGTGTCTTTTTCTGCTCAAGGAAAGGGTAGATGTGTGAGTTTAATAAATGGGCACGTTTGTTTTTCACTGAATGTTTCAGTAGTAAGTGAACATTACTATGTATTACGTGGAAGTGAGTTACTAGGCCGCCATGCGCCCCCAGAGCCCGGAGGTTATCATGGGCGGTGAGGAAGTGGGTGGCGCGGGAGCCGCGCAGCGCGTCCGGCGGCTGTGAGCGGATGTGACGTTACTGCGTCTTGTCGTCTCACATTGATTCGTTGTGCAATAGTGTTTACACAATCACTCTATGCATTGTTATTTTATTTTTATTTATTTGCACAAGTATTTCCAGTATGGGAGAATGAAAAATTATTATAAGCTTAAGTTAAAAATGTAAAGGAAATCACTTATGTATTATTCTGAAAGTTAGCTTGAAAACGATTATTGTGACTACCGTTTTCTGTTCATTATGTTTTTATATCTTCATTTTGAAGCAATTCAATAAATGCATAAAGTGCAAAAAGTCTGGTTTGTATTGATCGTTCTTTTGTCTTCTAGATACAGAAAGGGGCATCCTGCAGATAATACATATTGAAGTCAAGTAAACAGATTTGTTAAAGTGAGAAAGTAGGTTTTCTGTGTTTTTAAAATGCCATCAGTTTTTTGTTTTTAAATGCTATTTTACTGGATTGGCGGTTTTTAGGTTTCGAAGTATTTTAAATGCTTGTGTTGCGTACTCCTAAGGAAAAGAGACATTAGGCAGTAAAATGCGTGAGCTGGAAACGGCGATGTCAGGGGACCTCGGGGCGGCAGGTGTGGGTGTGTCCAGCGATGGCAGGGGCGGCAGGTGTGGGTGTGTCCAGCGATGGCAGGGG